TTTTGTTTTTCATTTGCTTGGTAGATCTTCCTCCATCCCTTTATTTTGAGTTTGTGTGTGTCTCTGTATGTTAGATGGGTCTCCTGAATACAGCAAACTGATGGGTCTTGACTCTTTAACCAATTTGCCAGTCTGTGTCTTTTAATTGGACCATTTAGTCCATTTACATTTAAGATTAATATTGTTATGTGTGAACTTGATCCTGTCATTATGATATTAGCTGGTTATTTTGCTCGCTAGTGATGCAGTTTCTTCCTAGCATCGATGGACTTCATATTTTGACATGTTTTTGCAATGGCTGGTACCTGTTGTTCCTTTCCATGTTTAGTGCTTCCTTCAGGATCTCTTGTAGGACAGGCCTGGTGGTGACAAAATCTCTCAGCATTTGCTTGTCTGTAAAGGATTTTATTTTTCCTTCACTTATGAAAGTTAGTTTGGGTGGGTATGAAATTCTGGGTTGAAAATTCTTTAAGAATGTTGAATATTGGCCCCCACTCTCTCCTGGCTTAGAGAGTTTCTGCCGAGAGGTCTGCTGTTAGTTTAATGGGCTTCCCTTTGTGCGTAACCAGACTTTTCTCTCTGGCTGCCCTTAACATTTTTTCCTTAATTTCAACTTTCGTGTATCTGACAATTATGTGTCTTGGGATTGCTCTTCTCGAGGAATATCTTTGTGGCATTCTCTGTATTTCCTGAATTTGGATGTTGGCCTGTCTTACTAGGTTGGGGAAGTTCTCCTGGATGATATCCTGTAGAGTGTTTTGCAACTTGGTTCCATTTACCCCGTCACTTTCAGGCACTCCAATCAGACGTAGATTTGGTCTTTTCACATAATCCCATACTTCTTGGAGGCTTTGTTCATTTCTTTTTACTCTTGTATTTGCCACACTTCTCTTCTTGCTTCATTTCATTCATTTGATCTTCAATCGCTGATACTCTCTTCCAGTTGATCGAGTTGGTTACTGAAGCTTGTGCATTTGTCACATAATTCTCGTGTCATGGTTTTCATCTCTATCAGTTCTTTTATGGTCTTCTCTGCATTGATTATTCTAGTTATCCATTCATCCATTCTTTTTTCAAGGTTTTTAGTTTCTTTGTGCTGGTTACGTAGTTCCTCTTTTAACTCTGAGAAGTCTGGTTGACTGAAGCCTTCTTCTCTCAGCTCGTCAAAGTCTTTCTCTGTCCAGCTTTGTTCCGTTGCTGGCGATGAGCTGTGTTCCTTTGGAGGGGGAGATGCACTCTGATTTTTTGAATTTCCAGCTTTCCTGCACTGCTTTTTCCCCATCTTTGTGGTTTTATCTGCCTTTGGTCTTTGATGATGGTGACGTACTGATGGGGTTTTGGTGTGGGTGTCCTTTCCGTTTGTTAGTTTTCCTTCCAACAGTCAGGACCCTCAGCTGTAGGTCTGCTCAAATTTGCTTGAGGTCCACTCCAGACCCTGTTTGCTTGGATATCAGCAGCGGAGGCTGCAGAAGATAGAATATTGCTGAACAATATTATTGCTGTCTGATTTTTTCTCTGGAAGCTTCATCTCAGGGGTGTACCCCACCGTGTGAGGTGTGAGATGTCAGTCTGCACGTAGTGGGGAATGTCTCCCAGTTAGGCTACTCAGGGGTCAGGGACCCACTTGAGCAGGCAGTCTGTCCATTCTCAGATCTCAACCTCTGTGCTGGAAGATCCGCTGCTCTCTTCAAAGCTATCAGACAGGGGCATTTACCTCTGCCGTGGTTTCTGCTGCCTTTTGTTTAGCTATGCCCTGTCCCCAGAGGAGGAGTCTACAGAAGCAGGCCAGCCTCCTTGAGCTGCAGTGGGCTCCACCCAGTTCGAGCTTCCCGGCAACTTTGTTTACCCACTTAAGCCTCAGCAATGGCGGACGCCCCTGCCCCAGTCTCACTGCTGCCTTGCAGTTAGATCTCAGACTGCTGTGCTAGCAATGAGGGAGGCTCCATGGGCGTGGGATCCTCTGGGCCAGGTGTGGGATATAGTCTACTGATGTGCCGTTTGCTAAGACCCTTGGTAAAGCACAGTATTAGGGTGGGAGTTACCTGATTTTCCAGGTGTTGTGTGTCTCAGTTTCTCTTGGCTAGGAAAAGGGATTCCCTTCCCCCTTGTGCTTCCCAGGTGAGGCAATGCCTCGCCCTCCTTCAGCTCTCGCTGGTCGGGCTGCACCAGCTGACCAGCACCGATTGTCTGGCACTCCCCAGTGAGATGAACCCAGTATCTCAGTTGAAAATGCAGAAATCACCCATCTTCTGTGTCACTCACGCTGGGAGCTGGAGGCTGGAGCTGTTCGTATTCAGCCATCTTAGGCGTGCCCTCTCTCATTTCCTCTTTAAAACTTTCTTTGATGCCATAGGTTAGTCCTATGGCATTCATGTAAAACTCATATTCATTTAGCAATATTTCCTAAGTGTCTCTTGTGGTGTTAGGGAACTCTGCTAGTGCTACATAAGGGTGCTTTAGAGAACTGACCCTACTTTTGCTTGTTTGCTTCTATTAGTAGTCTCATACTTTTGAATTTTACAGATATTTAACATTTAAAAAATGAAGACTAACAAAAATTTCCCAATTTTTCTCTTCTAAGTAAAAGCATAATAAATAATTGCCACAATTCTTTTACAAAAGAAAGGGCATTTTGATTACCAAATATATAATCTCAAGATTTTGAAAAAAAGTAATAAATTAGGCTTTGTGGAAAACTTCATGGAGGGTTTCTGTGTAAATTAGGGAACAGGCATTGGGGAATCCATTGATTTATACATATTTTTACCCCAATTGGATAGTTGTTAGATGCTATTTCTTATTCAGTTGTGCATCTCTAGTGCAGTGCCCAGTGTTTTATAGGAAGTACTCAATTAATATTTATGAATGAGAAAGTGAATCTGCCTCTGAGCAAATACCTCTGAGACCTATGGTAATGCCTACAGTAGGGAGCACCTATGAGACAACACCAACAGTGGTAAGAAAGTGTGGTGGAGGGGTGTGTATTTGTATGTTTATGTGTGTGAACTAATATAATTTACTTTAACAGTTTGCCAGGCACCAACCATTCTGATTTTGTAGGGAAATATTAGTGAGACTGTCTTCTAGGGGAACAGGGGAGGAGGCAGGGGCAGGATCTAAGATATTGAGACATATCTCATGTGTACTGTAAAAATATTTCATGTCACATCTGAAGTGTATTAAGATTATAGTAAGTATAGTTACTATAAATAGATAACATTCATTGAGTACTTATAAAGTGCCAGACACTGTTCTAAGCTCTTTGCATTCACTAGGTGACTTAATCACTACAACAACCTATTGAGATAGACTCACTTTCTATTCCCTTCTACAGATGAGAAAACTGAAGCTTGCAGAGGTTAAGTGACTTGCCCCCGGTCACACAGTTAGTCAGTGGTAGAGGTAGGTTTCAACTATGGTCTAGTTGTTTTTAGAGCTCATCAAAACTCTGAGGTCCCTTTCTAGCCACCTATTTCTATGATGAACATAGTTTTATATGACTTGGTTTTCATTTTTAATTTTAGAAAATTAAAATGTTTTCTCTTAGGATTTTAAAGCTGTTAGGGCATTCAGTTTTTCTACTTATTAATAAAAGCTATGTGACCATAAGCAAGTTCCATAACCTCTTTGAACTTCAAGTTCTACATCTCTAAAATGGAGGTGAAAGTCTTTTTCTGTGTGTTTTTGGGAGGATTAAATGGATAGTGTATAAAAATAGCTAGCAAAGGGTCTGGATTATGAAGGGGCTTGAACAAATGTTAATTCACTAGGCCCCATAGGGCCTAGTAACATAAAATGACATTTTTAAGTTAAAATAATATCAAATATTAGTAATAGGATGAGAGCAAAGAGATCATCACTCTGGTGGATAAAGGTGCCTGTATTTACAGAATTCCTTAGAGAGCCACGAGGATTATCTTTGCTGCAGCCCTCATTTTAATTAAGAGCATAGAGATCCGACATTTCAGCATAGGAAGAAGCTTGCATTTGATTTACAGCACGGATGCACATTTTCAGCATCCAAACATTCCATTCCTTGGCTAAAGATATAAAGAGCTACTTCGGCAAACCTGATCTTGCAGAATAAATGGAAAATGCTTAATCATTTAAAAAGATATACAAAAGAATGGAAAGATCAAAGCATGCACATATACCAGTGAGGAAAGCTAACTGGCAGAAAGTCTCTACTTTTTGAAAGGCTGACAAATGACTTCAGTTAGACAGGGTAAAAAACCAAAACAATCCATCTATCATTCTTTACATATAAACACATATAGAAATTAAGCACACACATGTACATGTAATCTCATTTTTGATAAAACTATTGTTTATGGAGAAAATTAAGTTGTGGAACAATGTATAAAATATAAACTTATTTCATAAAAATAATGTCAGGCTCCACGTATATCTGAAAATATATACGTTTGTAAGAACATGGAGAAGGTATGAAAGGTTTATGCCAGGTTGTCACCTTGGGTACCCCAGGACAGGTCACTCTGGAGGGAGTTTGTGGGAAGTTTTTGTTCCTTAATCATCTTTGTATTCTTTTGCCAAATATAATGACTAGTTAAAGACAAAAAGTTTTTACATTTACATTTCTTTATTATTAATTTACCCATTGAATTCCAGTAACCAAATATATAATATTGGCATGCTACTTCCTTCCTTTTGAACCTCAGCACTATCTTCTGTTCTCAAGTATTAATACTTATCTTACAGTATGGCTGTAAAGCTTAAATGAGATCAGATATAGAAAGTCTTAATAAATGGCAAAGTGATGTATAAGTGTATCTTACTATTTATTCACAAGTATTTTGTGATTTTGCTGCCTATCAGAGGACAATGACACACTTACAATGCACTTGAGGCAAAACTACAATAAGGTTGAATGGAACCCAGAAGCTTCAGTTAGCATCCAAAACAACACCTGACATGTTAGTCAAATGTGATTTATTTCTGGTAATCAGAGCAAATTCAATTAACCAACAGGCATATCTGACCTGGTGTAGTCGTCGTCAACAAGCATGTGCTTTGGAATTGGTGAGTACCTTCCCGGAGAGATGGGTGGCAGGGAGGTTTTATATTCTAAAGTGCCATTGTTGCCAGAGAGTAGATGGTTTTCCATTGGTGGAGAATAAGCTAAGAGGTGGGGGAAAAGGAGAAAAGAAACCTGTTATGTGGGTGATTCAATGTGTCATGCTATACTTCAGAAAAATGTATTAAAAACAGAAAGGCTTTGCTGCATGCCAAGGATTTTCTTGTCCTCCAAGAGGGAGGAGTTGCCGTTTATTTGCATTTAATATATACAAGCACATGGTAACCTTTAGGATAGGAAAGACTTAATAATAGTTAAGTCTGTAATGCCAGTTAGTATAATTTGGAGAAAAGAAGAACAGGAGAAGACATCCAGCACACATATTTTCAGAACAATGATTAATTTTCTATTGAAATAAAATGTTAGCTTTCTAATTGCAGAGCTCACATTGTTTTCACATAATTAATGTCCAATCATCGAGAACAAAAGCCTCCTAAGGAGCAGATTCTCCTATGAGACTTTCTCCCAAAATATACTCTATTCCCATCCCACAAAGGCCAAGAACTCTGTCCTTTCTTTTTTATTCCTCCTTCCTAATGTTTCTCCCTTTTAGGTGACTGAAAACACCTCCTAACTGGGTCTCTTGCTTCTTTCTCTCTCCTCAAATCCATTTTATTTGTTGAGATGAGGTAAACCTTCCTGAAATTCAGCTTGACCACACTATTCTCTTACTTAAATGTTCTCCGTTGTTGTTATATATTTAATTTAGTATAAACTCACCTCTTTGCCATTCTTGCAAGATCAATCAATTTTAATATCCCCCCAACACATATCCTATTGTCCTCAACAATAGCCTGTGCTTCCTGACATCTGTACCATCTACCTATAATTTGTGTCTCATACCTAACCCATCTCAGATGTTGAAATCTCATTCTGAAGATGCAACTGAAATGCCATCCTATGCAAAAAGATTTTTCTCATGTTCCAAAGACAAATGATATATCTCTTTTCTTTGACTTCCCAAATAACATTTAACATTTATATTTACCTCTCCCATGGCATATACATACCTCTTATTCTGCCAAATATGCTTCTATTTATATATCTGAGTTAGCCTTCCTCCCAGCAAAACTCTTTGAAGGCCATGATTCTATCTCCTCTGTATCACACATATTACCTTACAATGTGTCTTGTACATACTGAAATTACTCAATACATATTTCTTAGGTTTATTAGGTAGTTTGGTTTTCTCCTTTTTCTCTCTTTGACATTAACCTTATATGCCCTCCATGAAGTGGCTCACAGACTATCAGGGCTGATTTTGCAACATTTGTCCACTTTGAAAAGCTCTGAAAGTTAAAACTCTTTCATATTCTAAGGTAAGGCTGATCTCAATGTACTGCCAGCTTGAAAACATACATATTTTGGAGGTAAGTTGTTTTAGAATCATCATTAAGAAAAGCAATAGCTAATGCAATGGGCAGGAAACAAAATTATTCAACACTTAACATTTCTCTCAAGAGAAACATGTAAATCTGAGATAAGTTAAACAATTTGCTTGAGACCGTAGTACTAATCAGTGGCCAGTTCTGAAGACGTTCCAAGTTTCCAGTCTCACAAATGGACTTTCAACATTTCAGAATGAGCAAGCTTACTACTGTTGATACAAATGTCCCTTACATTTACATAACAAAGTAAATTGCTTCTAAATCTAGTCTTCAAAGACAGAAACTTAGTTAAGATTCGTGTTGACCTATTAAGAAGAGGAGGACACATGAGGCTTAGGCTACGGTGGATTTTTTGAGGACTCCAGCATAGTGTCTCATTAGTTGTTAGCTGTTGCCCCAGAAGTCTCACTTCCAGCTCACCTCTATTTCCATAGTGACTGATAATTTTTTCCAGCTTTCTTGCCAATATAACAAATTCAAGTAAAGTAAAAGCTATGATGATGGTGATTGAGGATCTTGATTTCACCATTCAATTGCAAGATCCCCTTTTTCAGGAAGAATCATAGAGCTACCTCTGGTCTATTTGCCAGTCTCTCTTTTCTAGTCTACTACTACAGAGATCTGAAGTTGGAAGAAAGAATATGATGGCATGAGAGTGATCATGCTTTAGGAGCTTGAGAAATAGCCTTTCAAAATGTGTTGCCCATAGACTACTGTAATCACACTGTTCTCAACATTAAGCCTTTCCATAACAGTGGGCATGCCAACTCATTAGGATATCTCACCTTCAAACAGTAGGTAAGGGCCTGCAAGGCAACATAGGAGTGGAGCTTAGGATACTCCCTCTAAAGTATTTCCAGAAGTTAACCAAGAGGGAAGGTACAAGCAGAACACTTTGTCAATAGTTTTATAGAATTTCAGTTTTGCAAGTCTGGCATGCTATTTGAAGATGACAATGGTACTTACAGTGAGTAATATCAGGTGGACCATAAGGATCAGTCATATAAATGGTAGTGGGTTTGCCAACTTTTAAATAAACTACCTCTGATGTGTTCTTCAATATTGCTACTGCCTCTTCATGTGTTACTTCTTCTAAACTGTAGTTGTTTACCTGAAAAGGGGAAAAAAATCAACAATAGAGTTAAATCTATGCAGCAGAAGAAAAATATTCAGGCAAGAAGATTCCTGGAATTATAAATTGTGATAATTACTGTCTGGTATCTTTGACAGAACAGATGAATTAAATGCATTAGTCAAAGCAGATAAGTACAATCATTGATGCTATAAAAGAAAGTTGCTTCTGCCTTTTTAAAATGAGGAAGTGATATACTATAATGGAATTCAGAATAGTATTTGTGGAAAGGAAAATAAGGAGTCAAATGCCTTTTTTGTTATGCTGTAGTTTCTATGACACAAAAGTAACACATATTCATGGAAGAAAACTTAGAAAAAGAAGAAAATAAAAATCATTCATAATCTCCCTACTTAGATTTATTTCCTTAAAACAATTTTGACTTTATTATACACGTTGTTTTGGAACCTGCTTTTTAAAACTAGAGGGACTAGTTGTTCGTAACAGCAATGTAGTTTAACAACATGACTTTTGTTTTCTGCAGAGCATTATGTTGCATGACTACAGTATAATGATCTAACAAGTTTCTTACTAGTGCATGTTTAGTTTGCTCCTAATTTTTTACAACTATAAATAATGTTCTAATAATTCTTTTTCTATATTTGTGCAGAACTCTGATAATTTCTTTGATATAGATTTACCCATACAAGTGAAACTACTGGACCAAACTACATGAACATTATCAGGGCTTTTGATACCTAGTGGGAAAGTACCTCTTTCCCTCTGGAAAGATGAACCGGTTTACCCTCATACCAGCACTATATGAGAGCCCTCATTTCCCTATAGCTTTGCCAAACCTTCATTTTTTTTCACTTTAAAATCGTTCTTATCAGAATGTCATTTAATATGAGTCTATTTGGAACACAGGTCTTTTCAGGTGAGCAAGTTCAAGGGTACCCTATTGTCATTGCGTTAACAGAAATGCCTCTTTCTTTATTGCACGGAAAAGCCTATGATACAAATGCAATTCTGACTTCATGGCAGTGCCATTACAGTGGGTCTCTGCACCACAATCACTTCTCTGAAATGATTTTAAGATAATCTCTCTAAAAAGACTTAAACTTTGAGGAAATTAGAATAAACATTAATTCACCAAGTATTTCAAATACCTAGGTTATCCTTATCTGGCTACTATTAAAAAAAATTTATTGTGTATATTTCAGGTTCACAGCATGATGTTATGTCACATATATAGATAATAAAATGGTTACTATAGTGAAGCAAATTAACATATCTATCATCAGTTACAATTTTGTGTGACAAGAGCAGCTAAAATCTACTTATTTCACAGAATTCCTAATATAATACAATTTTATTAACTATAGTCTTTATGTTGCACATTAGACCTCTAGACTTGTTCATCCTACATATCTGCTACTTTTTATCCTTTCACCTATATCTCCCTCTTTCCCACCTCCCCCTGTAACCACTGTTTTATCCTCTATATCTATATATTTGACTCTTATTTTTTAAGATTCCACATATAAGAGAGATCACGCAATATTGTTCCTTCTGTTCTGGCTTACTTCATTTAGCATAATGTCCTCCAAGTCTATCCATATTGTGGTAAATGGCAGGATCTCCCATTTTTTAAGGCTGAATATTTCATTGTGCATATATACCACATTTTCTTTATCCTTTCGTCCACTGACAGACACGTAGGTTGTTGTCATATCTTGGCTATTGTAAATAATGCTGCATTGAACATGGGAGTGCAGATATCTTTACAAGGTGGTGATTTAATCTTCTTTGGGTATATAACAAGACCAGAGATTGCTGGGTCACATGCTAAATCTATTTTTAATTTATGTAGGAGCCTGCATACTGCTTTCCATAATGGCTATACCAGTCTACATCCCAGTCAATAGCGTACAAGTGCTCCTTTTTCTCTGCATCCTCACCAACAGTTGTTATTCTCATCTTTTTGATAATAGCCATCCTAACAGCTGTGAAGTGATATCTCATGGCAGTTTAGATTTGCATTTCCTTGATGATTAGTGTTATTAGGCACCTTTTTGTATACCTGTTGGACATTTTTGTATCTTCTTTGGAGAAATAAGTAACTATTCATGTCCTTTGTTCATTTTTAAAATTCTGTTAATTGTTTTTCTACTATTGAGTTGTATCAGTTCTTTATAAATTTTGGTTATTAACCTATCATCAGATATATGGTTTGCAATTTTTCCCCCAATTTGTTTCATTTTGTTGTTTCCTTTGCTTTGCAGAAGATTTTGAGGTTAATGTAGTCCTATTTATTTTTACTTTTGTAGCCTGAGCTTTTAATGTGATATCCAAAACAACACTGCCAATGCCAAGGTCAAGGAAGCTGTTCCCTTCTGTTCTTTTCTAGAAATTTTATGGTTTTAGGTTTTACATTTAGGTCTTTTAGCCAAATTGAGCTGATTTTTGAATATGGCGTTAGAGTCCAATTTCATTCTTTTGCACGTGGAGATTCCATTTTCCCAGTATCATTCATTGAAAAGACTAGCCTTTCTTCATCATGTTCTTTTATTTACTTTGTCAAAAATTAGTTGACCATATATGTTTGGATTTATTTGGCTACTATTTCTTTAATGACATAATTGTTTAATTACTTTCCAATGGCATAATGTAAAATTAAATGTGCCAGAAGCATTGGACTGAATTCCTATAGTACATATTATCTATACTATCTAGCACTTTAGCTATACCATATTTCACAGCACTACTATTCATAATCTTTATTATTTTGCTCCATGTTGCTATATAAGTTCCATGTGCTAGTTAATCCTTGGTGATGTAGCCCAGGTTAGGGACTGTGGAACTGGAGAGAAATGAACCTGACTGATGTGTTTGAATGCTGACTGTGAGTTCTCCATTAGCCATAAGCTTCTCCAGCACCTCTCACATTTCTCTTCTAGATAAGAGACATTCCCTTATTTCTTTTTTCATTTCAGTGTCTGGCATTTGTTTATTCACTGATCAAATGTTTCCTGCATACCTGTTATGTGTTGGACTCTGTGCCAGATAATAGAGATATCATAAATAATAAAAATGATAATCAATAATCATAGCAAACACTTATATAGCCCATATTACACACCAGGCACTATTTTAAAGTATTTTACATATATTAACACAATCAAACCTTCACAATAACTTATGAGGTAGCTATTATAATTACCTTATTTTACAGATGAGAAAAGTATGTTTCCAAGAGGTTAAGAAACTTTCCCCAAGTCATTGATCTGGTAAGTGTCAGAGGCAGAATTCAAAGCTAGACAGTTTGGCTCCAGAAACCATACTGTTAACCACTCAGTTTTACTACTTCTTCCAGATAGACAAGGTCCTTGCTTTCATGAAACCCACATTCTAATAATACACAATTGTTTGTGGAATGGATGGATAGAAGAATAGACTCATGCAGAGAGGGAGAATGTAGAGGAACTTCAGGTATGGAGAACACAGTTGATAATGGCAGCTCTTAATAATACAGAAATAACTAAATGATAATAATAAGAACTAATGTTTATTTAATACCTGCATGTCATATATTTTAGGAGTACTATGTCATATATTTTGAAATGAATCATATAACTTATCATCAGAATAGCTCCAGGAGGTAGATACTATTAATCAGGGAAATTTTACAGATGAGAAAAACTGTTGTTTAAAGAGATTAACTTGCAACAAAGAGGTCACACTACCTCCAATTGTCAAAGCCATCAGTTGGATCACAAGCCTCCTTAAGAGATGAAAATGAGATTATATTTGTATGTTGATTCGTTAAAAGCTAGGGCTCATATTACCTGTTCTTTCTCCCTTTAGGAGAACAGGGTTTCTTTCCAAGTTTACATATAAAAGTAGAATAAATTCCAAAGTTTTATAAAAGCTTGAGGAATCATTATATTTCCCACATAATCCAGTGGTTATAGTATATTGCATCATCCTAATACACTGACCAGTCAAAAAATAAATAAGTAAAATGGAAAGCAGCTTAATAAATCTCACTGTCTCTTCAAAACCTTCTTACATCTGATTAATCACTTATTTTAGGGCAGTTACCACTTGTGCCTAGATAATGACTTATTTTTTATTCTTTTTATTTTTTTGAGATGGAGTTTTGCTCTTATTGCCCAAGCTGGAGTGCAATGGCACGATCACTTCAACCTCTGCCTCCCGGGTTCAAGCAATTCTCCTGCCTCAGCCTCCTGAGTAGCTGGGATTACAGGCATGAGCCACCACTCCCACCTAATTTTGTATTTTTAGTAGAGACAGCGTTTCACCATGTTGGCCAGGCTGGTCTCAAACTCCTGACCTCAGGTGATCCACCCACCTTGGCCTACCAAAGTGCTGGGATTACAGGCGTGAGCCACCGTACCTGGCCGATAATGAACATTTACTTGTGATGGTCTACAGTTTAAAATGTATATGAAAGTGGTTGTTTTCTCTAAAAAAAAAAAAAAAAAAAAAAAAAAAGATTGCCTAAGGCAGCTTTTAATACGGTGACTGTGGCCCACAGAAACATCTCTACTGAGAGAACAGAAAAGAAACAGCATCTGGTGCCATAACACAGGAGAAATGAGAAGTCAATAATAATTAAAAATAAAAACCAAAGGCTAGAAACTAACTAGATTAGATTATAAGTGACACTTATAACAGACCAAAGCTCTGTTCCTGACAAGGGCTTATTGTCTCTCTCCCCAGAGTACGGAAAGTACACAGCTCATTAGATTATCAGTGAAAGAGAAATGTGGTCAATGCTTATTAAATTGCATATTTTGCCATTTTTAAGGTGGGCAGTGAAATGATCCAGAAAATATTTCCTTCAACAGCATTTTCATAGAGTGACTTTGCTAACAGAGTCTTCAGACCACTAGGAAAATTTTTAGATCATAAAGCAGAAGTTGAGGGAAAGGTAGTGGTGAGAAATGGGGCAAGAGGATATTGGGGAGAATAATAATAGTAGTTTAAAATAGTGGTAGTTCACTCGGTTTCTA